GCTTCCAGCTCAGCCCTTCCTGCACTGAGCCACTGCCAGCCCCTTCCGTCGCACCGGCGTCACCTCCTCGCCGGCCCCTCCACGGCTGCTGGAGCCCAGCCAGACATCGCCCCCTTCCCATGCCCCGGGTCCAAAGCGGTTCCCGCTTTTCCCCCCCAGCAATTTTCACCCGGCATCTCCCCCGAAGCCGCTCCCAGGGCTCTCTCCCGCCGCAGCTTCACCACCCCGCAGCCCACTCCCCTCCTGCAGAGCGACGGGGAACCCCCCCCCCCCCGTCACTGGAGATGGCGGCCCGGACATGCCGGGGGCCGCATGCCCAAATCCATCCACTGAAGATACGACTCGATCCATTTTTTCCCCCCGCGCCAAAACACGCAGCAATTATTCTGAGGCTGGAAAGACTGAAGCGAGTATCTGGAGTCACCTGGGGCGTCTTCCCCTCGGCAGCCCATCCACACCGCCCAGCTGCGCCCCCAGCGCTGTCACTTGATGCAATTACAACGAACAGTCGCATCTTTACGGCAGTTGTGTCACTTGAGACCTCTGCCAACGTGCTAATCCACCGAGAAGGAGCCCACGGGGGCTACGGAGGCCCAGCCGGGGCCACCCACGCGGGACCGACCTGCGGGCAGAGCCCACCTGCCAGGAGAGGTTTCCCTATGGGACGAGGGGGTGATGACCGAAAAGCCCCACGGCCAGACCCGACAGCCAGCTCCCCTGGAGCCCGGCTGCCTCCAGCCACTTCACAGCAGCATCGAGGGTGCAGGTTCACTCTCCCTTTTCTCCACACCATCACTGGGAACCAGAAGCGATCCCCTTCCAGGACGTAGGAAAAGCAGTTCCTCAAAATCCAGCTAACTGCACGCATGCTTCACTGCTCCTGTCCTCTCCCTCGCCGTGCGGCTTCGCCCCAAACCATTCTACTTCTGAAGAGGCCCAACATTCGTGTGGAGAGGGGGCTGCAGGCAGAGGGCACCCACCGGAGCACAAACCTCACCTAGCATCATCCACGGGAGCGCAAAAACCACTCAAATGTGTTCCTAGCCCAGGATCTTGGGAGAGAGAGCACCCAGGAGGAGCGGCACGGGCTCGGGTAGGCAGAGCACCAGCGTCAGCCATGCCCCATCTTCTCCAGAAGGTTTTGATCTGAGCATTCAAGTCGCTTGCTGCCACGGGAAGAACCTGTTGCACATTTACGAAGGGCTCCATCCTCCCTCCTCTCCAGCCAGTGAAGCACCGTGTTCCTCTACCAAAGGTGCTGGGGCTGCCGCGGAGCCGGGAGGAGGGAGACCACCGGACTTTTCCTGAGCGAAAAGGAGCTTTGCAGACTCAACGTTACCAAAACCACTCCAGAGGTCCCGATGCCAAGAGCCTTGGTCAGCGTTTCAGGCAGCAACTTGCACCCACTTGCCAGCACAGAAATCCATGTTTAGTTCCGCCGCAGGAGGCCGGCGCGTGGCGGAGCAGCCTCCCGAAGAGGGTGCAGGGCTCGGCAGAGGGCAGAGCCGTTCACCGAGCTCCCGGCGCGCACCTTCAGTGCTTTAACAGGAGGATGCAGCATCTCCCCCGCAATTAACTCTACACGGCAGGACCGCGCTGGGAACTCCAGCCCATGCAGTGTAAATAGCGACCAAGGGGTGCGCAGACGCCCGGGGAGCCGAGGGCAGCAGGACCAGCTCCCCAGCCCAGCCCAGCCCCTCGTTCAGGCTCACGAGGGCTCCTCGGGGGGAACGGAGCTGGGAGTTCCCTCGACCCCGGCTCCCTTGCTGAGCAACCCCGAGGCAGAGAGGGTCAGCCAGCTGCAGCCCCGCGACAGAAACCCCAGCAGCAGGTCATGGAGACTCAACGCCCCCAAAACACCGTCACCTAAACCCTCAACGGAGCCGCGGTAAGCTGTGATTGAAGCGGGTGATTTAAAGTTTAAGAGCTACCTCGTCCCAGACAGGGCTTTCCCCACGCCATTCCCTCCCTCCCAGGAGCAAAGGCCTCCGAGCCCACGAGGGCAGGTTCTTACCTTGCTAACATTGAGTGAAGCTAAAGGAGGAGGCGTTTCCGTGCGGTCATTAATTATTTCCACTTCTGAAACATACTGTAGGTTTACAAGCAGGATATCTGCGTGATTAGGCTTCCCACTGGAAGAGGGGCATTCTGGAGGGGAAAAAACATTAAGGAAAACAAATCCAGACGGAGACATTTACGGGCCTGACGCATCGAGCTGTCCAGGAGCAAACCAGGAGAACATTTGGTCTCCAGCGAGTTCCTCCACCACCCCTGTCCCCACTCAGCCAAGCACGGGGCCATCCGCGAGACCCCAGCAACATCAACCATCTCTTCTTGGGCCCATTTGATGCCGATTTGTTTTTTTTTTCCAGCCAGTAACCGCTGTACCTCCAACACACACAGACCGGGAAGCTGC